CACTTGAAAAAGAAAAAGAAAAAGAAAAGTAATGATTGAAAAGATCCTAAAATAAAAAAAGAAGAAAAAAAAGAAAGAGAAAGAAAAGAAAAATATATGAGGAGAAGCTTGAGGAGATGCCTACTCAAAAAATTGGTTTCACTTGAATCAACTTAAAGAATGAGCTTTATTACGTTTTCTAAACTTCTATTGGATTATTAGTAGCATTCCTAGTAAATTTTTTATGAATTTCATTTATAAATGAATATTCTAAATGTCCTTAATATGAAAAATTACAATTCTTCTTAATGTGCATAGAGATTCATAAATCTTAAATTGTGTTAAATGAATCTAAGTTATTAAAGGCTTTTTCTTAAATTTTCCTATTCTATTTCTTAAACTAAAGTATAGAAGTTATAAGTTAATCACTATCCTAAGTGATATGCTTTTATTTAATAAAATTATCACTTAAGGACAAGTAACATTTAAGTTTGGGGGATTTTGATACACTAAAATAATATAATGTTTTAAGTACCTATTTTGTGCTTATTTTTTGTGATATTACACTTTAAAGAATGATATTTTTTTTGTTTATTGCAGGTACATCATTTTTAGGCATTTGGAGCAAAGATGGTAAAAGGAACAAAATTTGGAGCTAAACAAAGAATTTTGGGATTATGGCGCATGATGCGCTACAATCCAGAGAACAGATGCATGATGCACCAGATCAATGCATGATGCGCTAGGGGCGACTTTTATAGATTAAGGTGATTTGAGACATTTTTATGTGAATTTCAAAAGGATACTATTTCTACACACCTCTTGGACTAATTTAATGCATCTAGACACTTTGGAAGGTTCTTTTATGAAGAGATATGACTCTTGGATCAAATGACACATCTTTTGAATTCAAAAAGTTGACTTTTGGAGAAAATTTTGAATTCTTTTCCAAAATAGGCAGCTCAAAATAAAAGAAGAAGACTTGAAGGAGGCTTTTGGGGAGTGGCGTGAGAGAGAAGAAAGGGGGGGCGTGAGTAAGATATAAAGAGAAAAGATGAGATTTTCTTCTAAGGTTGTAAGAGGAGAGGGGAGGTGAGAGATTTCTTCTTCATTACACTTCTAAGAGAGAAGTGGGAGGGATTGTAAAGAGAGAGAGACTTAGAGAGTATAAAATAAAAGAAGAAGACTTGAAGGAGGCTTTTGGGGAGTGGCGTGAGAGAGAAGAAAGGGGGGGCGTGAGTAAGATATAAAGAGAAAAGATGAGATTTTCTTCTAAGGTTGTAAGAGGAGAGGGGAGGTGAGAGATTTCTTCTTCATTACACTTCTAAGAGAGAAGTGGGAGGGATTGTAAAGAGAGAGAGACTTAGAGAGTATTTCTAGGGATTTTCTTGGGAAAGATTGTGGGATAAGTTGTATTTTTATTTCTTTTGTTTTGAAAACTTGTTTTTAAACATGACATTCGTGTTTTATCGTATCATTCTCATGAATTCTGAGTAGTTTTCTTTATCCTCCTCCCTACTTTGAGTTTTGGTTTTATGATGAATAGATTTTATATTCCATGATTTTACAAGATAATAATTTGTGATGATTTGAACTCCATTCTTCATTTACTGTTCGATCTGGCCAATTGAAATGTTAAGAATTGTTGAGAGACATATGTTCTTAAATGAGATATGATTTCTACAGCATAGAGAGAATGACATTTGATTTCATGGGAGAGTGTGTCATCCATGGGATTGGGTGCAAATAAATAAGGAAATATACTTTGTTGAATGGAGAATTGGAGATTTTAAGGTGACATATAAAAATCCTCATATTGATCTAGTTGATTGGAAAGTAATGCGAGATTGTTAGCACTCAGGGGAGGAAGTAATGGGAGCTCTGGGGTGGCAGTCAGCATCCTTCCAGCTTAACCACAAATTAAGGACCAAACTCTGGATTAGTCAAAGTTCTTTATAGCACTCGGAAGAGGGTAAAAAATATGATTGCTCCTATTTGACACAAAATAATTTTTATATATATTTTCAAATGATTTCAATTTCTTCACAATTCATATACTAATTGTAATGAGGAAGGATGTTTTCTTAAATTTGAACTTTCCGTCACAATAAAAACTTTGTTTAATTTTCATAATTTTGCTTTTAAAAGTTTAGTATTTAGTTTAGTTTAATTTCTGTAGTCCTACATCTGCATTTTACTTAGCATTCACTTGAGTAGTTAAGTTTCAAACTTTGCACTTTTCTTTTACTTTTGTTTTTGTTTTTGTTATAAAATAATTTTCATAATTTACTTTAGTATTTTCCAACTTTCTTGCGGGATCGTTATCTAGGACTCCATTAGAGCCCTTTATTTATGGAGCGATACGTATATTTGCGTTGATTTTAAAGGGGATTTACCAGTTTAAAAAGAGTTTTAAAAGATAAATTATTTTCATAAAAAGTATTTTTATTGGGATTATATTGCATATTTATTATATATATGTCGTGTGTAATTTTGTAATATTGAAAAATATTTGCAAAATTCTCACACTAAATCTGCCCGCATTAATAGAGTAGATTCTTTTTCCAATTCAATTTAGATTTTGGATCGAAGGGTCCTTAGTAAGTCTTATAAAGAGAGCACAGTGGATAATCTAGAGGTGAGATGCCTGAATCTACTCAACACTACTAGACAAGCTGGTGAAAAACTCTAAATTAGCCAATGTTCCTTGCTTGCACCGGGAGGGGTAAAGAATAGGAATGCTACTATTTTTCGTAATACATCATCATATTTTTTAGTTATTCAAATCCTAAATAGAATAATATCTCATTGCAAGGGGAAAAATCTTTACATATTATTTAAACTTGTTAGAATTACTTTTATTAAACTGTTAATCATAAATGTTTCTATTTGCTTAAATTTAGTCTTAAGCATTGTGATTATTTTTTCTTTATTTAATCTGAAATTTCAATAGAATTTTCTTCTGAGTTTCGCAAGCCAATTTAAAAGAGTCCAACTATCCTTATTGGATGACACTGGGGATTTTAAAGAAAATCCTATATTACTTGGAACAATACGTATATTTGTGTAGTTCCTCTAGTGTGAAGTTTTATTATTTATTTTTCTATATCATTTCATTTATTTACGCTAGCCGCTGAATATAATTTGGGTCAAGATCTTGACAATATTTTGGAGATAAAAAATAAACGTAATTACGGGTCGGGTGAACAGAATGACAACTTGTTAAACATGGTGAGCAGTTAAAAATATGGAGCGATGCCAACAACGATTACAAATACAAATAGGCAGCAACAACGGTTATTAGGGGGTAAAAGATCCAGAAGGCAGGTACAAAGATTCAAACATATAATGGTTCATAAATAATTAATAACACTCTTATTTAATCTGGGACAAGCGAGTAATTTACTAGACACCCCATATGATCTATAAATAGGGGAGTCATTCCTCAAGGAAAGACTACTGAATTTATTCTAAGAAAGTTAATATGATTTGATGCATACTTTTTCATTTCTCCCTTTCTTGTACTCTTACTCATTTATCTCATCTGACCAACGCTCTACCTCTTGAGCGTGACCCGAATGCCATTTTGGTATTCAACATGAAAGAAAAAATTAATTCAACAAAACTAAGTGAATAAAAATAGAAGTAATGAGATTAAAATTGCTTGGGAGGGAGACGCGTCAATGGATATATCCTTATATAAGCCTTGGTTGCACCAATTTGCTGCTCTCTATTATACTCCAAATATGCAACCTATCATCTTGGTTTGATTGCACATAAATCACGGTTAATCGGTAAATATTTGAACTACTCTAGTAAATCTAGTTTCCCAAAAAGAAAAATGAAGGTTGATGGAAAAACAAAGAGAATTAAAACAATTTTCATCCCTTTTCAAACTGAAATTTTCATGTATTTAGAGTTTAATAATGAGAGTAATAAAAGATAATATTTATGTTTTATATCCATTGATGGCTGCTATAATGTTAACATTATTTGAGTTGTAACTCAATTTATTATTATTACTATTAATTATAATTATTCATATTCATTTGGAGCTTGAGCAGAGCTTTCACATATACGTTCATATTTATTTTTTTTAAATTTTTTAGTACTCATACTTAATTTTTATTCAACTTATTTGTTTAAATTTAAAAAAAAATTAAAAATTTGAATGAGTAATTAATTTCTTATATAAAATTATCAACAAATAATTTTATAACTTTAAATAGATAATTAATTAAAAAAATTTTGAACTAGCATCTAACAAGTTCTTAACTGAGGCGCTCTTTGTAATATTCAATTTAATTTTTTTTTCTTTTTTCCAAAACTTTAAATTTTCATATTTTATTTGTAAAAAGAAATGCATCAATTAAAAATGATGATGATTTTATTTAATTTCCAAATAAGACGATTTAAGTATAGATATTAGATTTCTGCCCTTTCTTTCAAAGCCTAAATATAACTTATTTTTTCTACTATTTTTAATTTATTTTATTTATAAATAGCCTATCCATATAGCAACAAAGAATATAATAATATTGTAAATGTGCTTCTCCATTATAATTTTTCAATGTTGAACAATAAATTTTCAAGATAATTTGTCCTTATTAACTAAAATAATAATATTTTTATCGTTTCAAATAACATATCAATGTTGCGAAAAAATATTAGGTTACGGACAGCAGCGGCATGTATGCGCAGTTTCTCTTCCTAAAAGAATATTCCGTCTGGATATCTGGCTCCACCGAGGGTTCCACTGCACCATGGAGAGTCTACACACCTGACAGACAGTAATCTGCTCTGATACCACTTGTCACCTCCCAAAAGAGCCCTTATGGGTGGTGGGCAGCCCAGGACTTAAATACTGCTTTTCGGCCCTACACCTAGCTGATGTGAGACTATTTATCCGTGACACGTAGCTGTACCATAACATACAAATCACCTTGATAATTTTAAAATATGTTCATAAATTCTTACGAGGATGTAACTCGAAAACATCAACCCGTTCCAGTAATCTTCCGATCCGCACAAGGTTGGGATCTCCATCACAGCTTCGGTTCTGCGATGTTCGATGTACGCTATCTACGCCTTCTAGGGTTTGCAAACCCCATGCCTGAACGCTTATGAAAACATAGGTTTTGATTCCATGGACTTTTGCCTCCGTCGGAAATGGATCCTACTACTCACCGGCGCCGCCGGTCTCTCAACTTATTTCGCATACCGTATGAAGATTGCGAAACTCGCCGGCACCCTCTTCTCCCTCGCTGACGCCGTTTCCTCCACATCCGACACCGCCAGTCTCATCTCCGCTGACGTCAACCGCTTTGTTCACTCCGATTCTAATGAAATTCCTTCCAGCCTGAAGCAGCTCTCCAAAATTGCGTCCTCGGACGAGCTTCCAGGCTCCGTTTCTAGGATTTTGGAGGCACTGACAGTGGGAATTGCAAGGGGAACCCGTTCGGCAGAGCAAAACGTTCCTGGTGGGAGGGCTGGGCTGTCTGATCTGGTCTTGGATAGGTTCTTCTCCTCTGAGGGATCCAATTTCGCCTCTGTCGTTGTCAGGAGTTTCGCCAGGAACCTCGTGATTTCTTTCTACTCAAAGGGTGCTGAAGGCGGCGGCAGGCGGAATTCGCCGGCGGGGTTGGGGTGGGTGGATGTTGTTTGTGCAGAAAAGTGCAAGGAGCTTATAGCTCACAGCATTCAGGTGTTTGTAAGTACGGCCGTCGCTGTCTTTCTTGATAAAACTGTGCATATTAATCCTTATGATGAATTCTTTGCTGGTATCACAAACCCTAAGCATGACGCACGGGTGAATGAAGTGTTAGTTTCAGTCTGCAATGGTGCCATGGAAACGCTTGTCAGGACATCCCACTCAGTGCTTACAAGCCCATACTCTGACTTATCGGAGAACAAAGTAGTGAATTTGGGAAATGCTAGAAATAGCTCTTTTGTTTCCATGAACGGAGAGCACAATGGTTGGGTCAGCCAGATTTCTTCGGCATTGGCAGTTCCAAGCAACAAGAACTTTGTTCTTGATGTCTCAGGGAGGGTGACATTTGAGACTGTCAGGTCTGTTACAGAATTTGCGATGTGGAAGCTTTCCCATTGTGTAAAAATTGGTATGAGTTCAATTCGACAAGAAGTTGCTGATAGAGGCTTGGAAGTGTTGAGATATGTTAGCGCTAGGTCTACAGTTATAGCTACAATATGCTTTATCTTGTGCATGCATATTTATGCTGGAACGAGGGGTTTGATGAGGATTTGAACTCTTTCTGCAACCTTGATTGTTTATTTGCCACTGTAAGTTTCCATGAACCTCTACTCATACAATACAATAAGAATGTGTTTTCGAAGAGCGTGGAGGAACACAAGGTGGTGTATTCTAGATGAAATTTGAAGTAGCACAATGTTCAATGAAAATGCATATATTAAAGGAAGATTTAAGATTTGAAACGCAGGTGATATTGAAAATAGCTATGTAATAAGGTTATATATTTTCTGTAGAGTTATAAGTAGATGAAACTCACTCATCATATTTTACCAAATATGCTAGATGGGTGAATGGCATCTTTGTTTTGGTTAATGCATCAATGCTCTGTAGCGAAAGAAATGTTTGATGTTTAAGGAAGACTTATGTGAAGTCAATATTTGCTTGGATCTTGCTTGAAGATTTAATAATTTGATGATTTAATGTAGATATTTGATGAGAAATGAACTGTTTAATGGTTGAATATCTTCCTGTTCTTTTGTTATAGTGGCATTTTTTTTCCGTGGAATGAGAAATTTAACCTGCAAATTTTGTACATGCATATGTAGATTATATCATTTTTTTTATAGCTATCATGTAGCTTGAGTTAACAACAAATCAGTGCAAGTTTCTTGGCAGTAATAAAAAACAAAGAAAAATCCCTCAACAGCTGACACATGAAACCATCTTTTCCTCACTTGATTTACCTCAAATTTGCTTTTTTTCACTTTGATCTTCAAGGATATAGAACGTGTTTTCCATTCATTTGTTTAATTTTTTAAGGGATTAGTCAGTGTTAAAGCGCAAATTTAATGCTTAGTAATTTTTGAACTTGGGATCTTGGAAACATTTTCCAAGATCATTTTCATTTAAGCTAGTGGACAATCATCTTTTTGATGCATTTAATTAGCAAATCTATTCTGCATTTTGGCTAAGTTGCTCTTTAACTATGGAATGTGGTGAACTAAATCAGGGATTATCATAGTCATGGTTCGAAACTACTGTAAAATGATATGATAACAAATTTGATAACTATGCGGTCGGTTTACTGATTCAGTATTTTCGAGAGCTATATTTTTTGGGTGATGTGAAATGGATGCTTTGGGTTCCTACCTAAAAATACTGGAAAGAGGATGTGCTTTTTTTGGCGAGGATTTACTTACATAACAGACAATTCCTTATCATTTACATGTCTAAAACCTGAACTTAACAGTTTATTGGGCGTACCAAACAATTCTTTATACAATAAGAATGTGTTTTCGAAGAGCGTGGAGGAACACAAGGTGGTGTATTCTAGATGAAATTTGAAGTAGCACAATGTTCAATGAAAATGCATATATTAAAGGAAGATTTAAGATTTGAAACGCAGGTGATATTGAAAATAGCTATGTAATAAGGTTATATATTTTCTGTAGAGTTATAAGTAGATGAAACTCACTCATCATATTTTACCAAATATGCTAGATGGGTGAATGGCATCTTTGTTTTGGTTAATGCATCAATGCTCTGTAGCGAAAGAAATGTTTGATGTTTAAGGAAGACTTATGTGAAGTCAATATTTGCTTGGATCTTGCTTGAAGATTTAATAATTTGATGATTTAATGTAGATATTTGATGAGAAATGAACTGTTTAATGGTTGAATATCTTCCTGTTCTTTTGTTATAGTGGCATTTTTTTTCCGTGGAATGAGAAATTTAACCTGCAAATTTTGTACATGCATATGTAGATTATATCATTTTTTTTATAGCTATCATGTAGCTTGAGTTAACAACAAATCAGTGCAAGTTTCTTGGCAGTAATAAAAAACAAAGAGAAATCCCTCAACAGCTGACACATGAAACCATCTTTTCCTCACTTGATTTACCTCAAATTTGCTTTTTTTCACTTTGATCTTCAAGGATATAGAACGTGTTTTCCATTCATTTGTTTAATTTTTTAAGGGATTAGTCAGTGTTAAAGCGCAAATTTAATGCTTAGTAATTTTTGAACTTGGGATCTTGGAAACATTTTCCAAGATCATTTTCATTTAAGCTAGTGGACAATCATCTTTTTGATGCATTTAATTAGCAAATCTATTCTGCATTTTGGCTAAGTTGCTCTTTAACTATGGAATGTGGTGAACTAAATCAGGGATTATCATAGTCATGGTTCGAAACTACTGTAAAATGATATGATAACAAATTTGATAACTATGCGGTCGGTTTACTGATTCAGTATTTTCGAGAGCTATATTTTTTGGGTGATGTGAAATGGATGCTTTGGGTTCCTACCTAAAAATACTGGAAAGAGGATGTGCTTTTTTTGGCGAGGATTTACTTACATAACAGACAATTCCTTATCATTTACATGTCTAAAACCTGAACTTAACAGTTTATTGGGCGTACCAAACAATTCTTTCTAATACATTAAAATTACCATGCAAACTGCCACATTAAAAATAGGGCAGAGGACACGGGCGCACGGGATCGACAGACGAGTCGATGCGAAATTAGGGCAGAGTAGATGGGAAGGGCATCAGGGGTCTTTCGACAGTATTAAACGCAGATTGCAGGGTCCTACCCGCGATCCTCATATAATACAAAAATCAAAACGGAGTTTTAGCAAAAGTTGCGTAACCTGTTTTTCCAAACAGGTGATGGCGTTTTGAAAACGCCACCGCTCTAAATAAGTTGTCCCAAACACATCTATACCATCGGTGCTTACTATGGGCTTCCTTATTGAATGAAGCCGGATGAGATGAGGAAGTTTTTCTGCATTTTCTCTCGAGTCCACACGTCTGTAATTGATAAGGAATTGCGTGGAATTCAACTAAATGCCCTGATTTTCTATACATGATCTGCTTCCAACCTTAAACCAAGCTTATGAAGCAAAAACATTAAAACCACAACCACGTCATCTCTTGATTTTTTTGACCAATGTGCAAGTTATCTCTGCTAAAAACAATTAACTAGCTCTCTCCAGAATGTGAGGATGAAATCGAAAGGGTTAGGACTAGTTGATTTTTGAATGCTTATTAATGTCATAAAAAGTTATACAATTGCATATGTTGGGAACTATTATCAGTATATGTATACAATTCCATGTCATCTACCTTTGCTAATGATTATTTCCTTGATCGGCTTGTATATGCATAAGAAAGCAATCATATGTCGAGAGAAAAAGGTTGCACGCATTAGTAAGGGTTTATAGCCAAAGGAAGGGGAGGGTGAACTTCATTGTAAGCCAAAGGTAACTTAGTCCAGGAGGAAGCCAATTGTAGGATAAAATATACCTTCTATTTTAGGTTGGAGATCACCCACAAGAGAAGGCAGATGACTTGGACTCATATACATATATTAGCCAATACCCTCACCCCTCTTGCTTTACACCGCTTGAGCAAGAAAGAAAATACTTATGCTTCTTAACCTTTCTCTACCACTGAGTTTCTATTTGTGTTCGCTTTCATTGTTGATGAAACTACTGCTCAAATATTTGGGAATGTGCATTGTTTGATTACCGTTTCTCTACAACAACAATAACAAATTTTTATCCCGTTAAGTGGGTGAACCACATGAATAATTTTTCTTCATTTCATCCTGTTGAGCGTCGTATTTTCATTTTATTCTAACAGGTTAATGTCACTTTTTATACAATATGCCCAAATCTTTTTAAGCCTACCTCTGTCTTTCTTAACATTAGTTAAATAAAAAACATTTACTCTCCTAATGGGATATTAGATGGTCGACGCTTAATGTGACAACCTTCTAATACGACTCTCTCTAAGCTTATCCGCCACTGGAGCTATAACGTCCTTATAGTGCATAAATTCATTTTGCAATTTTTTTAAGAGTCAAGCTACTCATCCACCAAGTATTCTCATCTTGGCAACTCTTAATGATGTTTGATGCATCTCTTTTAAAGGCCAACGTTCTACTCTCTAGAGCATTGCGGGTCTCACCACCATCTTATAGTCTAAGCGGTACTTTTGTATCACAAAATAGGCTTGATGCATTCTCCACTTCAACCAACCAACTTGAATTCTACTAATAACATGCATTTCTATATCATAATCACTTCAAATAATATACACGAGATATTTAAAATTTTTACACTTTTTAATGTTTTGATCACCCACAGTTATAACTCTGCCACAGGTGCTACTATTACCAAAATTACATTTCATGTATTTAGCTTTAGATCTACTCAAATGAAGGTCTTTAGACAGCAATTTAGACCTCAATAATTCGAGTTTTTTCCCATAATTTTTTCTCTAGTCTTATCCACAAGAAGGATATCATCAGCGAAAAACGTACACCAAGGTACATACTCTTGTAATTTTTTAATAAGAGCATCCATAACTAAAGTAAAAAGATATTGGCATAAAGCCAGTCTCTGATGTAATCCAATTGAATTAGAAAAATGCTCGGTTTATCCTCCTTTTGTTCTAACAATAGTATCAGCTCTAGTATACTTCTCTTTAATGACTTGAATATAAGTTATATCAATATCTTTCTTTTCTGGAGCTCCTTAAAAGACTTCTTTTGGAACTTCATCATAAACTTTTTCCAAGTCAATAAAAATCATATCTAGAACCTTCTTGCTCTCTCTATACTTCTCTATTAAATCTCTCAATAAATGTATAGCTTCTATAGTAGACCTGTCGGGCATAAATCCAAACTTATTATAAAAAATCTTTGTATCATTTATTAACTGATGTTCAATTATCATCTAACATCACTTAAAATACGACACATCAATTTAATTTTGGGTTAGGGTCAAGGTTTGTACAAAATAGTTAATCTTATCATACATTGACTCATACTCAGTTTTCTCTTTATCTTCTGAAGAGATCTTGAATCGAGGTTTCCTTTTACTTTTCGTATTGCATTCTTCGCGGTCTCTTCATCCTGGGAACCCTGGGAATTCTAATCTAAGTCAATGTTGATAGTTGAATTTATCTATTAAAAAATCCTGCTAACTCTTCCTCGCCCTCTTCCTGATGCGGGTGGATTTAGTGTGTTAATATTGCAAATATATTTCAATATTACAAAATACACACTGCAGATACAATAGCAAATATACAAATTAATCCCAACAAA